TCTAGTCTATAGTCTAGTCTATAGTCTAGTCTATAGTCTAGTCTATAGTCTAGTCTATAGTCTAGTCTAGTCTAGTCTATAGTCTAGTCTAGTCTAGTCTAGTCTAGTCTAGTCTAGTCTAGTCTAGTCTAGTCTAGTCTAGTCTAGTCTAGTCTAGTCTAGTCTAGTCTAGTCTAGTCTAGTCTAGTCTAGTCTATAGTCTAGTCTAGTCTAGTAGTCTAGTCTAGTCTAGTCTAGTCTAGTCTAGTCTAGTCTAGTCTAGTCTATAGTCTAGTCTAGTCTAGTCTAGTCTAGTCTATAGTCTAGTCTATAGTCTAGTTTATAGTCCTGTTCAGTTCTAGTTCGGTTCTAGTTCAGTTCTAGTTCAGTTCTAGTTTAGTTCTAGTTCAGTTCTAGTTCAGTTCTAGTTCAGTTCTAGTTCAGTTCTAGTTCAGTTCTAGTTCAGTTCTAGTTCAGTTCTAGTTCAGTTCTAGTTCAGTTCTAGTTCAGTTCTAGTTCAGTTCTAGTTCAGTTCTAGTTCAGTTCTAGTTCAGTTCTAGTTCAGTTCTAGTTCAGTTCTAGTTCAGTTCTAGTTCAGTTCTAGTTCAGTTCTAGTTCAGTTCTAGTTCAGTTCTAGTTCAGTTCTAGTTCAGTTCTAGTTCAGTTCTAGTTCAGTTCTAGTTCAGTTCTAGTTCAGTTCTAGTTCAGTTCTAGTTCAGTTCTAGTTCAGTTCTAGTTCAGTTCTAGTTCAGTTCTAGTTCAGTTCTAGTTCAGTTCTAGTTCAGTTCTAGTTCAGTTCTAGTTCAGTTCTAGTTCAGTTCTAGTTCAGTTCTAGTTCAGTTTCTAGTTCAGTTCTAGTTCAGTTCTAGTTCAGTTCTAGTTCAGTTCTAGTTCAGTTCTAGTTCAGTTCTAGTTCAGTTCAGTTCTAGTCAGTTCTAGTTCAGTTCTAGTTCAGTTCTAGTTCAGTTCTAGTTCAGTTCTAGTTCAGTCAAGTTCTAGTTCAGTTCTAGTTCAGTTCTAGTTCAGTTCTAGTTCAGTTCTAGTTCAGTTTTAGTTCAGTTCTAGTTCAGTTCAGAAATTGTCGTGGGGATTTTTCGTTGTCAAAAAGTACTAATGTACTATATATTCCATGCCTGGTTCTAAACATTTTCAAAATTTGTTTGACACATGTTAATTTTATTGATGCATTTTTTTGTTGTGGTTGTTGTTTTTTGTGTAATGCATTTTTTATTTAAACCGATGACAACAGAATGCTCTAATCTGAATGTGTGTGTGCGAGTGAGTGCAGTGATGACGGTGGGAGGTTTTCGTATTTTCAAAACTCACCAACTGACAAATCTCTATATTTAACAAAAGCAAGAGTGATGTCATTAGAAATTTACATAAAATCTAAAACATATTGTAATTTCTTCGAAGACTACAAATTGTTTAGAGTTTTTGACAAACTATTGACCTCATTTTTTTTTTTTTTCAAAATTCGGGGAGGGGAGTTTTAAATAAAGGAACTAAAAATAGTTTGTTTTAAAAATACATTCTTAAAAGTAAATATTTAAAAATAGCATTGAAAATTTAATTGAAAATCTTTTTGGACACATACATTTTTTGTTTAATGTTTTCTTTTAATTCTTTATCACCTGATTATTTCCAATTAAGTTCCTTGGCCTTAATTTTTTTCTAGTCTTTTTACCGGATATCACCCCAATTATTTCTTTAAAATTGCTTTTTGTCTTAATTTCTCTCATTAAACACATGACATAATTTTTTATTAAATTTTTTATAATTTTTTTTCTTAAATTTATTAAGAAAATGTGTTGTTTTTTTTTCTATATATTTAACAAAGATTTATAGAAAAACACCTTTTGAACTTTTGAAGACGTATTTCAACTGATAATTTTTGTGTATAATAAATCTTTTTATTGTTTTTTCTTTTTTTCAATATTTCAACACAAAATCGCAAAGTATTATAGTAATTCAGAAAAAAATTATTATAAAGAAATATTATTCTTATCGTTTTTTTATGAAGAAAATAAAAGTGATTTTTACGATTTAATATAAATTAGAGATTAGAGCAAAAAAAAAAAAAAAAAATTGGAACAAAATTTGTTAAAAATATTTAATGAATTCAGTATTAAATCAATTTCCGAAATAAAACTCTAACTGTATTTAACTTCGTCTATTTCTCTCTTAAACTAAAAATGTTCTCGGATCTCATCCATTCCCAAACTACCTTAATACTTTCGTGATAGTACTTTCCCAATAGGTTCACGATCACCACCGCTAACAATTTGTCTCAACTATGGATTAGCCTATAGACTAGATTATAGACTAGACTATAGACTAGAATATAGACTAGACTATAGACTAGACTCTAGACTAGACTATAGACTAGACTATAGACTAGACTATAGACTAGACTATAGACTAGACTATAGACTAGACTAGACTATAGACTAGACTATAGACTAGACTATAGACTAGACTATAGACTAGACTATAGACTAGACTATAGACTAGACTATAGACTAGACTATAGACTAGACTATAGACTAGACTATAGACTAGACTATAGACTAGACTATAGACTAGACTATAGACTAGACTATAGACTAGACTATAGACTAGACTATAGAGTAGACTATAGACTAGACTATAGACTAGACTATAGACTAGACTATAGACTAGACTATAGACTAGACTATAGACTAGACTATAGACTAGACTATAGACTAGACTATAGACTAGACTATAGACTAGACTATAGACTAGACTATAGACTAGACTATAAACTAGACTATAGACTAGACTATAGACTAGACTATAGACTAGACTATAGACTAGACTATAGACTAGACTATAGACTAGACTATAGACTATACTATAGACTAGACTATAGACTAGACTATAGACTAGACTATAGACTAGACTATAGACTAGACTATAGACTAGACTATAGACTAGACTATAGACTAGACTATAGACTAGACTATAGACTAGACTATAGACTAGACTATAGACTAGACTATAGACTAGACTATAGACTAGACTATAGACTAGACTATAGACTAGACGATAGACTAGACTATAGACTAGACTATAGACTAGACGATAGACTAGACGATAGACTAGACTAGATAGACTATAGACGACTATAGACTAGACTATAGACTAGACTATAGACTAGACTATAGACTAGACTATAGACTAGACTATAGACTAGACTATAGACTAGACTATAGACTAGACTATAGACTAGACTATAGACTAGACTATAGACTAGACTATAGACTAGACTATAGACTAGACTATAGACTAGACTATAGACTAGACTATAGACTAGACTATAGACTAGACTATAGACTAGACTATAGACTAGACTATAGACTAGACTATAGACTAGACTATAGGCTAGACTATAGACTAGACTATAGACTAGACTATAGACTAGACTAGACTAGACTATAGACTAGATTATAGACTAGACTATAGACTAGACTAAGGACTAGACTATAGACTAGACTATAGACTAGACTATAGACTAGACTATAGACTAGACTATAGACTAGACTATAGACTAGACTATAGACTAGACTATAGACTAGACTATAGACTAGACTATAGACTAGATATAGACTAGACTATAGACTAGGACTATAGACTAGACTATAGACTAGACTATAGACTAACTATAGACTAGACTATAGACTAGACTATAGACTAGACTATAGACTAGACTATAGACTAGACTATAGACTAGACTATAGACTAGACTATAGACTAGACTATAGACTAACTATAGACTAGACTATAGACTAGACTATGACTAGACTATAGACTAGACTATAGACTAGACTATAGACTAGACTATAGACTAGACTATAGACTAGACTATAGACTAGACTAGATAGACTATAGACTAGACTATAGACTAGACTATAGACTAGACTATAGACTAGACTATAGATAGACTATAGACTAGACTATAGACTAGACTATAGACTAGACTATAGACTAGACTATAGACTAGACTATAGACTAGACTATAGACTAGACTATAGACTAGACTATAGACTAGACTATAGACTAGACTATAGACTAGACTATAGACTAGACTATAGACTAGACAATAGACTAGACTATAGACTAGACTATAGACTAGACGAGACTAGACTATAGACTAGACTATAGACTAGACGATAGACTAGACTATAGACTAGACTATAGACTAGACGATAGACTAGACTATAGACTAGACTATAGACTAGACGATAGACTAGACTATAGACTAGACTATAGACTAGACTATAGACTAGACTATAGACTAGACTATAGACTAGACTATAGACTAGACTATAGACTAGACTATAGACTAGACTATAGACTAGACTATAGACTAGACTATAGACTAGACTATAGACTAGACTATAGACTAGACTATAGACTAGACTATAGACTAGACTATAGACTAGACTATAGACTAGACTATAGACTAGACTATAGACTAGACTATAGACTAGACTATAGACTAGACTATAGACTAGACTATAGACTAGACTATAGACTAGACTATAGACTAGACTATAGACTAGACTATAGACTAGACTATAGACTAGACTATAGACTAGACTATAGACTAGACTATAGACTAGACTATAGACTAGACTATAGACTAGACTATAGACTAGACTATAGACTAGACTATAGACAATAGACTAGACTATAGACTACACTGGCACTTATAACACTGGCAGACTAGACTATAGACTAGACTATAGACTCTATAGACTAGACTATACTAGACTAGACTATAGACTAGACTATAGACTAGACTATAGACTAGACTATAGACTAGACTATAGACTAGACTATGAACTACACTATAGATTAGACTACGAACTAGGCTATAGACTAGAATATAGACTATACACTGGACTAAAGACTAGACTTTCTAAACATTTAAAAGATCTCTGAACATTATAATTGTATTTTTATTTACCTAATTTTTGATCTTTCTTTTCTTCCAGCATTTCCGAAAACTTTCCATTAGAAACACAAATTTAAATCCTAAAAATGAGAGGCCTTAGCCTAATAATAGTGCTAGTGGCATTGGTACAATGGAGTTGCGGTTACAGTGCCTACAATAGACGTGCTGCTGACTGTGGTTCCTATGGTGCCTGCCCCTATACTCCCGGCAGTAGTGCTCAATACACTTCTTCCTACTCACAATCATCTTCCTCATCCTCGGCATCTTCCTCGTCTTCATCCTATGGTTATGGCTCATGCTGTAGTCTTAACAGCTGGGCTTATGCTCACATCGATGATATTAGACAATTTGCCAATCGTCTAAGACAAGAATATAATAGCATGTCTTCCGGTTCTACCTCAGGTTATAGCACTAGCTATACTCCATGGTCGGGTAAGTTTTGAATGGAAATCTTCGGACTGTATGGTTTAATATTAATTTTTGGTTGTCTTTTCCTTTTAGAGAGCATTATCAGCTTGACTGGTAAAACTTCTGGGGAATTGGATGCCATTTGCCGTTTCCAAAGTGAACAATTGGTTAATGACATGCGTAATGGTTTGGTCTCTTACACCGTTATTGGTCAACCCAATTTCTTTGAATGGAAATCTTCGGATATTTTGCAAAAATATGCCGTAGCTGGTGTTGATTATGGTCAACAGCAATCTTTAAATTTGGACTTGTCCAATTTCGATGATGTTAAAACCTACAATTATCCCGCTGAGGTTAAGGTTGTCGATGGTAAGACCATTGTGGTGCACAGAAATGTTACCGAAGCCCATAAGAGCGGTGGAGAAGGCACTTTTGAAAATCCCTACATCACCGTGGTTAAGAGAAATCGTACCGTTGTTACCACTAATACGGTACCAGTTTACACTGGCTCTTATAACACTGGCAGTTCCTATGGTTCCTCCAATGCTGGCTATACAACTGGCGGTCAGGTTTATGTTCCCGGCGGCAGTACTGTTGTTACCCGCAAGAAGACCGTTTACGATTGGGTTAATCAAAATATGGAACCCAGTGTAGTGGGTTATAGTCCAGTGGTTAATGTTGATTCCCATTGGGGTACCAGTTCCAATTTGTACAAACCTCCTGTACATATACCCGTAGATACTTCTGCTAAGTCCGAAGTTGAAACTTTCGGTACTGGATCTCATGTTTATCAGCCTAGCTATAGTCCCGGCTCTACTGTGACTGTTAGACGTTACAATAAGACTATTATTACCAATGCTGATGGTACCGTTGTCTCTGGTTCCGAGAGCCACAAGAAATGGGTTGATGGTAAATTGGTGTATGACACTGAACGTCCCTTTGGTGAGTGGACCGTGCCACGTGATGAGGAGTGGAAACGCGAGGAACGTGAACGTTTCTTCTGGTTCCTGACCTCGGGCAATATTACCCCTCAAAGTTTGGAAGCTTGGCAAAGACAACAGGAAGAAAGACTTTTGGCTTTGGCTGAACGTTATCACTGCACCGTTGAAGAAATCCAGGATTGGCATCGCAAAGAATTGGAACGTTATCGTGTGTTGTTGGGTCAATATCGTGCCCAAACTAATGATGACACCACCTGGAAACGCATGGAACGTGGTCGCCTTGATTGGTTGATCCATCAGAACAGTGTTACTCGCGATGAATTGGAGAGATGGCAAAAGGAAAATGCCGATAAATTGGCTCAATTGGCCCGTCAATATAGAATCACTGTAGATGAATTGAAGACCTGGCAAATTGAGGAATTAGATCGTTTGTACGTTTTCTTCAATGATCAAAACAATTCTATGATTTCCCGCCCCAATACCGAATCTCTAACACGCACCAGTGAACAAGAACGTTTAGAGGAATTGATTAGACAACACAATGCTACCATTGATCAGTTGCAAAATTCCATTAAAATGGATCAACAAAAACTCTCCGATCTCTCCCTGAAATATCGCGGTAATGTAGGCGATTTGGAAAAATGGCTTAAAGGAGAATTGTCCCGCTTGGGTGGCATCATTACCGAACAACGCAATGAAATGACACGCATCACCGAATGGCAAAAGTCGGAACGTGATCGTTTGGAGAATATTGTCAAGAATCATCGCGGTTCTGTGGGTAATATTGATGAACAAATGGCTAAGGATCGCATTTACTTGCAAACATTGGCCAATAAATATCATGTCAGTATTGAGGAGGTGGAGAAATGGCAAAGACAAGAATTGGAACGTTTGCAAAAGGAGGGTCAATTGCAAATTGAAATGGGCATTAAGGAATGGCAAATGAGAGAACATGAAAATCTCAAGAAACTCATAGCCCAAAACGATCTTACCGTAGAGGAATTCCAAACACAAATCGTCAATGATCGTCAGAAATTGCAAAACTTGGCCAGCACCTATAATGTGCAGGTTAACGAGATTCAAGAATGGTTGAGAAAGGAAATACATGAATTGAAGAATGAGGGCTTCCTCAATGAGGTCAAGAAAGAATTGGCCGAATGGCAGCAACAGGAAAGACAACGTCTATTGCTCATTGTCCAACAAAGTCAGGCCACTGTGCAGGATTTGGAGCTTAAGATCAAGACCGATCAAAGTCATTTGAATCAATTGGCTGCCAACTATAATGTGCAAGTAAGTTTTTTGGTGGTAATATGTAAAAAAGAAATATTTCTTATAATTTTTGTAAAAATTTCGTAGGTTTCCGAAATCGAAGAATGGCTTAAGAAGGAACTTATGCGTCTACAATCCCAAGGCTTGGTTAAGGCTGAAGATCTTAAGGATTGGCAAAAGGCCGAAAGAGAACAAATGCTTATTTTGTTGCAAAACAATCAACTAACCATTGAAGAATTCGAACGCAAGCTGTTGTCTGATCGTCAAAAATTAGCCGACTTGGCTAAGATGTACAATGTCAAGACCACCGAAATTGAAACCTGGATTAAGAAGGAAGGTGAACGTTTACAAACCATGGGCTTGTTGCAACTGCAAGAACAATTGAACAACTGGCAGAAGATTGAACGTGAGCGTATCATGAATTTGGTGCAACAAAATAATCTTTCCATCAAGGAATTGGAGGAGAAGATCAAGAATGATCAAACCCATTTGTATAGCACAGCTCACCAACATCAAGTGCGTGTTGAAGAGATTGAAGAATGGATCAAGAAGGAAATACAAAGATTGCAAGCCGAAGGTTTAGTTGAATTGGAGAAATTGAAGGACTGGCAAAACGAATGGAGAGGCAACTTGACCAACATGGTTAAGGAACGTGACTTTACCGTAGAAGAATTCCACAAATGGTTGTTGGAAGATCGTTCCCGCTTGCAAGCCTTGGCCATGCAACACAATGTCAAGATTGAGGAAATCGAAACTTGGGTTAAGAATGAAGAACAAAGATTTGTAGCCATGGGTTTGTTGAAGCCCAATGAGAAGCTTACCAACTGGCAGGAGGTAGAAAGACGCTACTTGGAACGTATTACCCAAGAACAATACCAATCTACCGAACAATTGGAACAAAGATTAAGACAAGATCGTGAATTGCTAGAGAAATTGGCTAGAGATTATCAAATCCAAGTAGAAGAGATCGAATCATGGATGAAGAAAGAATTGGCTAGATTACGTGATGAGGGACAATTGCAAATCGATAACTTGACTTCCTGGCAAATAGCCGAAAGAGAACGTTTAGATGCTCTCCTAAAACAAAACAAACAATGGTCGGTGGAAGAATTTGAACAAGTCTTGAGACAAGATAGAGATCATATGCAAAAGACTGCCTTCCAATATCACACCTCTGTGGAGGAAATTGAGAAATGGATTCAAAGTGAGGTCAACCGTTTGCAACAACAAGGTAAATTGAACATTGAAAAAATGACACAATGGCAAAAGGAACAACAACAACGTATACTCAATCTCTTGCAACAACAGTCCAGCATTACTGTGGAAGAATTCCAGGTAAAGATACAAAAGGATAGAACTTTCCTCATGAACTTGGCCAGACAATATCATGTCAATGTCAACGAAGTGGAAGAATATGTACAGAAGGTCATACAAGATTTGAAGGAGAAGGGCAAGTTCGAATTGGAACAATTGAAGGGCTGGCAAATAGCCGAACGTGATTATATACTCAATCTTATTAAGCAACACAAGAACGAATGGACTACCAAGGAGTATGAAGATAAATTAAAGAGCGATCGCGATCATTTGACCCAATTGGCCGATTACTATCGCGTAAATGTTAAGGAAGTGGAAGAATGGATGATCCGTGAACTTTTGCGCTTGAGAAAGGAAACCAGTGAACAAATTGCCAAGCTGTCCGCCTGGCAAGTAGCCGAATTGGAAAGACTTAAGCAAATGATTAGAGAAAATAATCGCTTAAACTATGTACAATTCGAAGTTGAATTGAAGAAGCAAAAGGATCATTTACTACAACTATCCCAACAATATTCCGTTAGTGTTACCGAAATTGAACAATGGCTGAGAGAACAATTGTTGAACTTGAAGACCACCGGTGAGGTTCAAGTGGAAAATCTAACTAAATGGCAGGAAGATGAACAGAAACGTTTGATTGCCTTGTGTTTGCAACAGCAAAGAGAAATCACCAATGAGGAGTTCGAGCAACAATTGAGAAGAGATAGAGAGAGATTGCAAAAACTTGCCAACGAATACAATGTCTCGGTGCAACAAATCGAACAATGGATGAAGGATGAACTGCAAAGATTGAAGAATTCCGGTTTGGTGCAGGTGGAACAATTGTCATACTGGCAAAAGATTGAAAGAGAGCGTTTACAAGATTGGTTGAAGCAACAGAACAAGGCTGCCACCACCGAACAATTAGATGCTTTCATCAAACGTGACAAGGCCAGATTACAACGCATTGCCCAAGATTATCATGTTACCGTGGAAGAAATCGAATCCTGGGTAGAACAAGAAGGTGCTAGACTCCAATTATTGGGTATGGTTAAGGGACCCACTGATAAGATCTCCGACTGGGAATTCACTGAATCCTGGACTAGCAAACATCCCCAAAACAACTGGAATAGCCAAGGTATGTTCACCAACGAAGAGATCTGGAAAGAACAAACCAAAGCCCATTTGCAAGCTGTGGCCCAAGTTAAACCTATGTCTTGGCAAGAATTCGAACAATATTTGAAGAATGAACGCATGCGCTGGGAACAGTTCGCCAGACAATACAATGTCACCGTTGAAGAAATCGAAACCTGGTTGAGACAGGCTGCTCAAGAATTGGTTCCCCAAGGTTTTATCTATGGCAAGGTGATCGTTGAAGAATGGGAAACCCATGAACAAAATCACCTACAACAATTGATCAACGATAAAATGCGCAAACAACAGCAGTGGTCTATTGAAGAATTGGAAAGACAATTGATCAATGATCGTGAATACTTGCAGCGTTTGGCCCAACAGTATCACTTGACTGTAGAGCAAATCATTGAATGGTATAAATTGGAATTGCAAAAGTTATTGAACCAAAGAAAAATTGTTACCGAAAACCTAACTGAATGGCAAAAGGGCGAAAAGGATCGTCTTTACAATTTGATCTCACGCAATCCCTACCGCACCCAAGAACAATGGGAACAGGAAATTTTGAAAGATCAAACCACTCTTAATCGCATCTGTGATCAATATCATGTAACCATTGAAGAAGTAGAGATTTGGATTAGAAACGAAATCAAACGTTTGGGAGTATTGGGTTTGATTAAGGGCTACGATCAACATTCTGGTTCTGGCGTCCAATACAGTGGCTGGCAGGAGCAGGAAAGACAAAGATTGAGAGCTATTGCTGCTGAATTGTCCATAACCGAAGAAGAGTTCTTGGAATTTATTGCCCAAGATGATTACTTCCAAAAACAATTGACCCAAATGTATGGCTGTTCTTTGGAGGAGTTAGTGCCCTTCCAAAAGGTGGTAATTGCCAATATGAATAGAGAAGGTTTGTTGGATAGAACTGTTTTGCTTAAGGTGGAACCTTGGCAAAAGACCGAAAGAGATCGTTTGTACAGTTTCATCAAGGATAAGAGCTACAATTTGGAGAACTTGCAAAACTGGCAGAAACAAGAAATGTTATTCAATGGTTTGGCCGCCAATATTGGCATAACCGCCCAAGAATTGAAGGACTGGCAATTGCAAGAATTCGAGCGCATACAAAAATTGGCTCAATACTATCAAATGAACCTCAATCAATTGCAAGATTTCCGTGAAAAGGAATTGCGTTTCATTACCTATATCATGCACAAGAAAACCGCCTCGGAACCCGTGCGTGTACAATGGGGAGCCAACGAAAGCAGACGTTATGGTGTATTGCAACGTAAGACCGGTTTGCAAGGAGAAGAACTAGTACAATGGCGCCGCAAATTGTATCTTCTAAGTCAAGCTCGTTTGCCCTTCAGTTATGGCGGCTATGGTGGTTGGGAAAATGGTCCTGGCACCACAAATCGCACTGCCTCAAACAAGCCTTTCATCTCCAAGGATCGTGGAGATCAACCCCCCAATGTGTTCGATGAAAACATTGACAACGATGAACCCGGTGTAATGGGTTCTAAATATGTTTTGCCCTCCCCTCCTAGTGCTCAAATGAAAATGGAACCTAACCAACAATCAGGTGGCTATGGAGGTTCTCACTCTATGTCCGGCAGCTATTCCTACAGCCATGGAGCTGGACAAAATCAAATGGGTTCTCAAGCCTTGACTGCCGATGACTATGGTCAACAACAAGTGCAGATGGAAGATGAATTTGGCCAGCAAGTTCAGGTGGAAGATTTACAAGGAACCTTTGGTGGATCTGCTTCGGCTTCTTCCTCCTCTTCCTCTTATACTCAGGGAGGTTATGGCGGTCATGGTTATGGACATAACCGCGGTCATGGTTATGGTCATGGGCAAGGTCATGGTCATGCCTATGGTCACTCTCAAGGTCATGGTTATGGTCACGGACAAGGTCATGCCTATGGTCAACAACAACAACAAGTTGAAGTAGAAGACTTAACTGGCACCTTCACCCATCAACAACCCATGCAGAGTGAAAAGCAAATCGATCAAACTGGAGTAAGTATTTGAACTCTAACCTTTAAAGTTTACCAATTTATTAACACTATCTGTTTCTCTCCCTCCCTTTCTAGCAACTCGAAGTTCAAGCTGAAGCTGAAAAACCCGGTCTCCTCTCCAGATGGAAAAACAAAATCTTCGGTTAATTTAAAAATACTCTTTAAGTCTTTGTATAAAAACTTTTTTTTCGTTGTTGTCGTAGCAGCTAAAAACATAAAAATGCCATGTTTCGTTAAATTTAAGTTAAATTTGCCATTTATTTTAATGTTTTCGTTTTTTATTTAATTTTGTTTTTCGTATTTTTTAGTTTGTTTAAAATGTAGTTTTAAGAATTTATATTTTTTTGGAAATTAAGCCACAACGAACGAAATTTTTGTATGAAAAATAATAACTAAATATATATTATTAATAAATTAATATTAAATAAAGTTAAAAGTTAACTTAAATAAATATATACTAAAAAAAATAAAAGAATGTATGTGTCTATTTCAAAAACTAAAACAGAATTAGAAAAAAAAGTAGAACTAGAAAGGACTAAGAACAGAACTAGAATAGAACTAGAACAGAACAGAACAGAACAGAACAGAACTAGAACAGAACTAGAACAGAACTAGAACAGAACTAGAACAGAACTAGAACAGAACTAGAACAGAACTACAACAGAACTAGAACAGAACTAGAACAGAACTAGAACAGAACTAGAACAGAGTTAGAACAGAACTAGAACAGAACTAGAACAGAACTAGAACAGAACTAGAACAGAACTAGAACAGAACTAGAACAGAACTAGAACAGAACTAGAACAGAACTAGAACAGAACTAGAACAGAACTAGAACAGAACTAGAACAGAACTAGAACAGAACTAGAACAGAACTAGAACAGAACTAGAACAGAACTAGAACAGAACTAGAACAGAACTAGAACAGAACTAGAACAGAACTAGAACAGAACTAGAACAGAACTAGAACAGAACTAGAACAGAACTAGAACAGAACTAGAACAGAACTAGAACAGAACTAGAACAAAACTAGAACAGAACTAGAACAGAACTAGAACAGAACTAGAACAGAACTAGAACAGAACTAGAACAGAACTAGAACAGAACTAGAAAAGAACTAGAAAAGAACTAGAAAAAGAACTAGAACAGAACTAGAACAGAACTAGAACTAGAACTAGACAGAACTAGAACTAGAACAGAACTAGAACAGAACTAGAACAGAACTAGAACAGAACTAGAACAGAACTAGAACTAGAACTAGAACAGAACTAGAACAGAACTAGAACAGAAAAACTAGAACAGAACTAGAACAGAACAAACAGAACTAGAACAGAACTAGAACAGAACTAGAACTAGAACAGAACTAGAACAGAACTAGAACAGAACTAGAACAGAACTAGAACTAGAACAGAACTAGAACAGAACTAGAACTAGAACAGAACTAGAACTAGAACAGAACAGAACTAGAACAGAACTAGAACAGAACTAAAAGAACAGAACTAGAACAGAACTAGAACAGAACTAGAACAGAACTAAACAGAACTAGAACAGAACTAGAACAGAACTAGAACAGAACTAGAAACAGAACTAGAACAGAACTAGAACAGAACTAGAACAGAACTAGAACAGAACTAGAACAGAAACTAGAACAGAACTAGAACAGAACTAGAACAGAACTAGAACAGAACTAGAACAGAACTAGAACAGAACTAGAACAGAACTAGAACAGAACTAGAACAGAACTAGAACAGAACTAGAACAGAACTACAACAGAACTAGAACAGAACTAGAACAGAACTAGAACAGAACTAGAACAGAACTAGAACAGAACTAGAACAGAACTAGAACAGAACTAGAACAGAACTAGAACAGAACTAGAACAGAACTAGAACAGAACTAGAACAGAACTAGAACAGAACTAGAACAGAACTAGAACAGAACTAGAACAGAACTAGAACAGAACTAGAACAGAACTAGAACAGAGCTAGAACAGAACTAGAACAGAACTAGAACAGAACTAGAACAGAACTAGAACAGAACTAGAACAGAACTAGAACAGAACTAGAACAGAACTAGAACTAGAACAGAACTAGAACAGAACTAGAACAGAACTAGAACAGAACTAGAACACAACTAGAACAGAACTAGAACAGAACTAGAACACAACTAGAACAGAACTAGAACAGAACTAGAACAGAACTAGAATAGAACTAGAACTGAACTAGAACAGAACTAGAACGGAACTAGAACAGAACTAGAACAGAACTAGAACAGAACTAGAACAGAACTAGAACAGAACTAGAACAGAGCTAGAACAGAGCTAGAACAGACTAGAACAGAACTAGAACAGAACTAGAACAGAACTAGAACAGAACTAGAACAGAACTAGAACAGAACTAGAACAGAACTAGAACAGAACTAGAACAGAACTAGAACAGAATAGAACAGAACTAGAACTAGAACAGAACTATAAAAGAACTAGAACAGAACTAGAACAGAGCTAGAACAGAACTAGAACAGAGCTAGAACAGAACTAGAACAGAAGTAGAACAGAACTAGAACAGAACTAGAACAGAACTAGAACAGAACTAGAACAGAACTAGAACAGAACTAGAACAGAACTAGAACAGAACTAGAACAGAATTAGAACAGAACTAGAACAGAACTAGAACAGAACTATAAAAGAACTAGAGCAGAACTAGAACAGAACTAGAACACAACTAGAACACAACTAGAACACAACTAGAACAGAACTGGAACAGAACTAGAACAGAACTAGAACAGAACTAGAACAGAACTAGAACAGAACTAGAACAGAACTAGAACAGAACTAGAACAGAACTAGAACAGAACTAGAACAGAACTAGAACAGAACTAGAACAGAACTAGAACAGAACTAGAACAGAACTAGAACAGAACTAGAACAGAACTAGAACAGAACTAGAACAGAACTAGAACAGAACTAGAACAGAACTAGAACAGAACTAGAACGAACAGAACTACAACAGAACTAGAATAGAACTAGAATAGAACTAGAACAGAACTAGAACAGAACTAGAACAGAACTAGAACAGAACTAGAACAGAACTAGAACAGAACTAGAACAGAACTAGAACAGAACTAGAACAGAACTAGAACAGAACTAGAACAGAACTAGAACAGAACTAGAACAGAACTAGAACACAACTAGAACAGAACTAGAACAGAACTAGAACAGAACTAGAATAGAACTAGAACTGAACTAGAACAGAACTAGAACGGAACTAGAACAGAACTAGAACAGAACTAGAACAGAACTAGAACAGAACTAGAACAGAACTAGAACAGAGCTAGAACAGAGCTAGAACAGAACTAGAACAGAACTAGAACAGAACTAGAACAGAACTAGAACAGAACTAGAACAGAACTAGAACAGAACTAGAACAGAACTAGAACAGAACTAGAACAGAACTAGAACAGAACTAGAACAGAACTAGAACAGAACTAGAACAGAACTAGAACTAGAACAGAACTAGAACAGAACTAGAACAGAACTAGAACACAACTAGAACACAACTAGAACACAACTAGAACACAACTAGAACAGAACTAGAACAGAACTAGAACATAACTAGAACATAACTAGAACATAACTAGAACAGAACTAGAACACAACTAGAACACAACTAGAACACAACTAGAACAGAACTAGAACAGAACTAGAACAGAACTAGAACAGAACTAGAACAGAACTAGAACAGAACTAGAACAGAACTAGAACAGAACTAGAACAGAACTAGAACATAACTAGAACAGAACTAGAACAGAACTAGAACAGAACTAGAACAGAACTAGAACAGAACTAGAACAGAACTAGAACAGAACTAGAACAGAACTAGAACAGAACTAGAACAGAACTAGAACAGAACTAGAACAGAACTAGAACAGAACTAGAACAGAACTAGAACAGAACTAGAACAGAACTAAGAACAGAACTAGAACAGAACTACAACAGAACTACAACAGAACTAGAATAGAACTAGAATAGAACTAGAACAGAACTAGAACAGAACTAGAGCAGAAGTAGAACTATAATGATAACTTTTTAAGATTACCATTATTTCAAACCTTTCGCCATTTTGTTAAAATAAAACTCTGGTACTATTTAACCTAAAATATTTATATTTATATTTATATATTTTTTAATAATTCTTTTCTTTTCATAAATAATTTCTATATGTATATATAAACAATTTATGTTTTAAATTTAGTTTCACTTACATTTTCAATAATTTACAATTTATAATTACAATATCATTTGACAATTTTCTCTTATTTTGTGGTGTTGTCGATTTTTGTTTAGTTATAGAAATTTCCAGTTCTTATGGTCGTCGATTCAAAAAAAAGGAAATCACATTTTTGGTTAGATTTTAAGGGAAAAAGGTACTTTTTGTGAAAAGCTCCTTAGGTAGTTTTACATAATTGTGATTTTTGGTTTTTAAAAAATTTTTTTCGTTTTCTTTAGAGAAGGGATATGTGAAGTGTATAAATTATATTTTATGAAAAAAGTAAAAATTTTATTAGAAAACTAAATTACAAAATTTATTACTTATGTAAAATATATAGATTAAAATAGAGAGAGAGAGGGAGAGCTTTAAAGAGAGTTAAAAACCCTTTATAGCAAATTTTGTTTACAATTAGTTGCTTTGACTAAAGTTTGTTAGGTCAACTAAATATTTGCTTGAACTTTAAAATAATCATAATTTTAAGGAAAACTATACTTGATATAAATATTTGTATAAGTATTAGATAAAATTCATAGAAATTTCTTCATAAAATAACATAATTTTGAAACTTTAATTAAAAAAAAATAAATTCTCTTGAAAGATTTTTTTGTTATCTGGAACGAGGCACTTGTATATGTATATTGTCAAAAGAAAATTTCAGAAATCTTAAAGGAATTTTGCCTTAAACGCCTTATAAGTTTTCCTTCTTGGTATATAAAGTCTTATAAAGTCAGATATCTGAAATCCTCTTTTGGTTTTGTTTTATTTAAGGGGGAATTTATCATTTTCTTTAGTTCATTTGACTTCGTTTAATTGTAACAATGATATATGTATGTAATATTTCCGTAATAGTTTAGTTTTCATAAGTTAAAATTTTTCTTTTTTTTTCTCAAATTGAAATTACATTTTGTTAGAAAAATTCAAATTAAATTTCCATTCTCTTCATCTAAATCTAGTAATCAACTATAATTGCCATTTTCACCATCACTATCACCCAATTGAAAACAATTTGTTCGATTAAATGATCCTGTAGCATTAGTATTTGTTGCCCTAATACCATTACCCACATAATCGTAGTCTCCATTATCTAAAATATCATATAAACCTTCGCCGGTTTCATATAAAACTCTATTTTTCAATTGTTCTATTTGATGTAATAATTTTAAGGTTTCATGATCTAAATTATCATCTTCCATTTTTAATTGCTGCTGCTGATCCTCATCGATATCCCATTCCAGAGACTCGGGGGTCGAAATATGCGACCATGAGTTATGTGAGGAGTTACGTGTTATGGAACCAGTTCTTAACATTACCCGACTATTGGATTTTAAGAGACTACGCTTCTCATTATAACGCTCTTTATTCTTGTTCGTTGCATTCAGCGCATCAGGTACAGCTGCTAGAGAACTTAACGAAGCCATAGACTGATCCTCATCTTGGTTCATATACTGCCACGATTCATCTGCTGATGTTTCATCTTTGGTAGTACAGCCGCCCACCATCATCATAGTCAATTGGCTGTAGTTCTGTTGTGGCTGCGTTTGAGATTTCTGCTTAAGCAGCTGCTGGTTAAAGTGACGTATTTGACTATATTCATGTTCCCATTCTAGATCGAGCGAAGAACTAGCTCGTGAGCTGGGCACACGACTGGGTAGATAGTTAACTGCAGTTTCTTTGGTGTGGCCGGAGGTTATGAGCAGATTGTTAACGTCCAGATTTTGTAGTTGTATGTCGGAGTAACTGGAAGCAAAAATAGTAAAAGTAAGACTAATGTCTAAAATCTCATTTGTAAAACAACTAGAACAGAACAAGAACTAGAACAGAACTAGAACAGAGCTAGAACAAAACTAGAACAGTACTAGAACTCTAGTTTAGCCACATTGGTAGTAAATATAAGTGATCAGAGATTTTCATCCTTTAGGCCCCAGCTCTTCTAGTTTAGCCAGAAAATGGACTTTTATGTTTTCACTCAAAAACTGGATTTTTGGTGGGAAATATAAGTGATCACAGATTTTCATTATTTAGGCCCTAGCTTTTCTAGTTTAGCCAGAAATTGGACTTTTTGTTTTCACTCAAAAACTGGATTTTTGGTGGGAAATATAAGTGATCACAGATTTTCATCCTCTAGGCCCTAGCTCTTCTAGTTTAGCCAGAAAATGGACTTTTATGTTTTTACTCAAAAACTGGATTTTTGGTAGAAAATATAAGTGATCACAGATTTTCATCCTTTAGGCACTAGCTCTTCTACTTTAGCCAGAAAATGGACTTTTATGTTTTCACTCAAAAACTGGATTTTTGGTAGAAAATATAAGTGATCACAGATTATCATTATTTTGGCCCTAGCTCTTCTAGTTTAGCCAGAAAATGGACTTTTATGTGTTCACTCAAAAACTGAATTTTTGGTAGGAAATATAAGTGATCACAGATTATCATTATTTTGGCCCTAGCTCTTCTAGTTTAGCCAAAAAATGGACTTTTATGTTTTTACTCAAAAACTGGATTTTGGTAGGAAATATAAGTGAAATATAAGTGATCACAGATTTTCATTACTTTGGCCCTAGCTCTTCTAGTTTAGCCAGAAAATGGACTTTTATGTTTTCACTCAAAAACTGGATTTTTGGTAGGAAATATAAGTGATCACAGATTTTCATTATTTTGGCCCTAGCTCTTCTAGTTTAGCCAGAAAATGGACTTTTATGTTTTTACTCAAAAACTGGATTTTGGTAGGAAATATAAGTGAAATATAAGTGATCACAGATTTTCATTACTTTGGCCCTAGCTCTTCTAGTTTAGCCAGAAAATGGACTTTTATGTTTTCACTCAAAAACTGGATTTTTGGTAGGAAATATAAGTGATCACAGATTTTCATTCTTTAGGCCCTAGCTCTTCTAGTTTAGCCAGAAAATGGACTTTTATGTTTTCACTCAAAAAATGGATTTTTGGTAGGAAATATAAGTGATCACAGATTTTCATCCTTTAGGCCCTAGCTCTTCTAGTTTAGCCAGAAATTGGACTTTTTGTTTTCACTCAAAAACTGGATTTTTGGTGGGAAATAAAAGTGATCATAGATTTTCATCCTTTAGGCCCTAGCTCTTCTAGTTTAGCCAGAAAATGGACTTTTATGTTTTCACTCAAAAACTGGATTTTTGGTGGGAAATATAAGTGATCACAGATTATCATTAGTTTAGCCAGAAAATGGACTTTTATGTTTCACTCCAAAACTGAATTTTTGGTATGAAATATAAGTGATCACAGATTATCATTATTTTGGCCCTAGCTGTTCTAATTTAGCCTGAAAATGGACTTTTATGTTTTCACTCAAAAACTGGATTTTTGGTAGGAAATATAAGTGATCAGAGATTTTCATCCTTTAGGCCCTAGCTCTTCTAGTTTAGCCAGAAAATGGACTTTTATGTTTTTACTCAAAAACTGGATTTTTGGTGGGAAATATAAGTGATCACAGATTTTCATCCTTTAGGCCCTAGCTCTTCGAGTTAGCCAGAAATTGGACTTTTATGTTTTCACTCAAAAAATGGATTTTTGGTAGGAAATATAAGTGATCACAGATTTTCATCCTTTAGGCCCTAGCTCTTCTAGTTTAGCCAGAAAATGGACTTTTATGTTTTCACTCAAAAAATGGATTTTTGGTAGAAAATATATGTGATCACAGATTATCATTATTTTGGCCCTAGCTCTTCTAGTTTAGCCAGAAAATGGACTTTTATGTTTTCACTCAAAAAATGGATTTTTGGTAGGAAACATAAGTGATCACAGATTTTCATCCTTTAGGCCCTAGCTCTTCTAGTTTAGCCAGAAAATGCACTTTTATGTTTTTACTCAAAAACTTGATTTTTGGTAGGAAATATGGATTTTTGGTAGAAAATATAAGTGATCACAGATTTTCATATTTTAGGCTCTAGCTCTTCTAGTTTAGCCAGAAAATGGACTTTTATGCTTTCACTCAAAAACTGGATTTTTTTTAGGAAATATAAGTGATCACAGATTTTCATCCTTTAGGCCCTAGATCACAGATTATCATTATTTTGGTCCTAGCTCTTCTAGTTTAGCCAGAAAATGGACTTTTATGTTTTCACTCAAAAAATGGATTTTTGGTAGGAAATATATGTGATCACAGATTATCATTATTTTGGCCCTAGCTCTTCTAGTTTGGCCAGAAAATGGTCTTTTATGTTTTTACTCAAAAACTGGATTTTTGGTAGGAAATATAAGTGATCACAGATTTTCATTATTTTGGCCCTATCTCTTCTAGTTCAGCCAAAAAATGGACTTTTATGTTTTCACTCAAAAAATGGATTTTTGGTAGGAAATATAAGTGATCACAGATTTTCATTATTTTGGCCCTAGCTCTTCTAGTTTAGCCAGAAAATGGACTTTTATGTTTTCACTCAACAAATGGATTTTTGGTATAAAATATAAGTGATCACAGATTTTCATTATTTTGGCCCTAGCTCTTCTAGTTTAGCCAGAAAATGGACTTTTATGTTTTCACTCAAAAACTGGATTTTTGGTAGGAAATATAAGTGATCACAGATTATCATTATTTTGGCCCTAGCTGTTCTAATTTAGCCTGAAAATGGACTTTTATGTTTTCACTCAAAAACTGGATTTTTGGTAGGAAATATAAGTGATGAGAGATTTTCATCCTTTAGGCCCTAGCTCTTCTAGTTTAGCCAGAAATTGGACTTTTATGTTTTCACTCAAAAACTGGATTTTTGGTGGGAAATATAAGTGATCACAGATTTTCATCCTTTAGGCCCTAGCTCTTCGAGTTAGCCAGAAAATGGACTTTTATGTGTTCACTCAAAAACTGGATTTTTGGTAGGAAATATAAGTGATCACAGATTTTCATCCTTTAGGCCCTAGCTCTTCTAGTTAGCCAGAAAATGGACTTCTATGAGTTCACTCAAAAACTGGATTTTTTGTGGGAAATATATGTAAGTGATCACAGATTTTTATGTGTTCAGAAATTGGACTTTTATGTTTTCACTCAAAAACTGGATTTTTGGTGGGAAATATAAGTGATCACAGATTTTCATCCTTTAGGCCCTAGCTCTTCGAGTTAGCCAGAAAATGGACTTTTATGTTTTCACTCAAAAAATGGATTTTTGGTAGGAAATATAAGTGATCACAGATTTTCATCCTTTAGGCCCTAGCTCTTCTAGTTTAGCCAAAAAATGGACTTTTATGTTATCACTCAAAAACTGGATTTTTGGTAGAAAATATATGTGATCACAGATTATCATTATTTTGGCCCTAGCCCTTCTAGTTTAGCCAGAAAATGGACTTTTATGTTTTCACTCAAAAAATGGATTTTTGGTAGGAAACATAAGTGATCACAGATTTTCATCCTTTAGGCCCTAGCTCTTCTAGTTTAGCCAGAAAATGGACTTTTATGTTTTTACTCAAAAACTTGATTTTTGGTAGGAAATATGGATTTTTGGTAGAAAATATAAGTGATCACAGATTTTCATATTTTAGGCCCTAGCTCTTCTAGTTTAGCCAGAAAATGGACTTTTATGTTTTCACTCAAAAAATGGATTTTTGGTAGGAAATATAAGTGATCACAGATTATCATTATTTTGGTCCTAGCTCTTCTAGTTTAGCCAGAAAATGGACTTTTATGTTTTCACTCAAAAAATGGATTTTTGGTAGGAAATATAAGTGATCACAGATTATCATTATTTTAATCCTAGCTCTTCTAGTTTAGCCAGAAAATGGACTTTTATGTTTTTACTCAAAAACTGGATTTTTGGTAGAAAATATAAGTGATCACAGATTATCATTATTTTGGTCCTAGCTCTTCTAGTTTAGTCAGAAAATGGACTTTTATGTTTTCACTCAAAAAATGGATTTTTGGTAGGAAATATATGTGATCACAGATTATCATTATTTTGGCCCTAGCTCTTCTAGTTTAGCCAGAAAATGGTCTTTTATGTTTTTACTCAAAAACTGGATTTTTGGTAGGAAATATAAGTGATCACAGATTTTCATCCTTTAGGCCCTAGCTCTTCTAGTTTAGCCAGAAAATGGACTTTTATGTTTTCACTCAAAAAATGGATTTTTGGTAGAAAATATAAGTGATCACAGATTTTCATCCTTTAGGCCCTAGCTCTTCTAGGTTAGCCAGAAAATGAACTTTTATGTTTTCACTCAAAAACTGGATTTTTGTTAGGAAATATAAGTGATCACAAATTTTCATCCTTTAGGCCCTAGCTCTTCTAGTTTAGCCAGAAAATGGACTTTTATGTGTTCACTCAAAAATTGGATTTTTGGTAGGAAATATAAGTGATCACAGATTATCATTATTTTGGCCCTAGCTCTTCTAGTTTAGCCAGAAAATGGACTTTTATGTTTTCACTCAAAAAATGGATTTTTGGTAGAAAATATATGTGATCACAGATTATCATTATTTTGGCCCTAGCTCTTCTAGTTTAGCCAGAAAATGGACTTTTATGTTTTTACTCAAAAACTGGATTTTTGGTAGGAAATATATGTGATCACAGATTATCATTATTTTGGCCCTAGCTCTTCTAGTTTAGCCAGAAAATGGACTTTTATGTTTTTACTCAAAAACTGGATTTTTGGTAGGAAATATAAGTGATCACAGATTATCATTATCTTGGCCCTAGCTCTAGTTTAACCAGCAAATGGACTTTTATGTTTTCACTCAAAAAATGGATTTTTGGTAGAAAATATAAGTGATCACAGATTATCATTATTTTGGCCCTAGCTCTTCTAGTTTAGCCAGAAAATGCACTTTTATGTTTTCACTCAAAAACTGGATTTTTGGTAGAAAATATAAGTGATCACAGATTTTCATCCTTTAGGCCCTAGCTCTTCTAGTTTAGCCAGAAAATGGACTTTTATGTTTTCAATCAAAAACTGGATTTTTGGTAGGAAATATATGTGATCACAGATTTTCATTATTTTGGCCCTAGCTCTTCTAGTTTAGCCAGAAAATGGACTTTTATGTTTTCAAACAAAAACTGGATTTTTGGTGGGAAATATAAGTGATCACAGATTTTCATTATTTTGGCCCTAGCTCTTCTAGTTTAGCCAGAAAATGGTCTTTTATGTTTTTACTCAAAAACTGGATTTTTGGTAGGAAATATAAGTGATCACAGATTTTCATTATTTTGGCCCTATCTCTTCTAGTTCAGCCAAAAAATGGACTTTTATGTTTTCACTCAAAAAATGGATTTTTGGTAGGAAATATAAGTGATCACAGATTTTCATTATTTTGGCCCTAGCTCTTCTAGTTTAGCCAGAAAATGGACTTTTATGTTTTCACTCAAAAAATGGATTTTTGGTAGGAAATATAAGTGATCACAGATTTTCATTATTTTGGCCCTATCTCTTCTAGTTCAGCCAAAAAATGGACTTTTATGTTTTCACTCAAAAACTGCATTTTTGTTAAGAAATATAAGTGATCACAGATGTTCATCGTTTAAGCCCTATCTCTTCTAGTTTAGACATAAAATGGACTTTTATGTTTTCACACAAAAACTGGATTTTTGGACTTTGATGTTTTCCTCATTTCACTTTATTTAATGCCCCTTTTTCCATTTTGTTACCAACTCACCTTTCCACTTGATTTCCATTATTTAATTTGGCATAATTGGTATCCTGATGCTGCCAAAATTTATCCAAATAGTGTGAGGATTTTTTCTAAAAAAAAAAAACATTAAAATCCAAAGCCAACATTCATCCAAAGAACATACCTTTCGTTTAAAATTCCATATACGAAATATAATATTGTGTTTTCTATAGGAATCACTTAAATTTGAAACTAAATCCAAATCCTGATCATCTGTTGATTGACGCCTAAAAGTAGAGCATACATATTGAAAGGTTAATAAAATATTAAGGAAATAACAAAAAGACAGAATGAGCTTAAGCAGAAAAGAAAAAATAAGCATTTTCTATTTACTCAAACAACATTGACAAAACAAAGAAAAGAACATTGTGCAACCTGCATATTAGTAAAGATGTTTTTGCATGTGTGTAACGTATGTTAAATAAACAAAACTAAATTATTTATTGTATTTTGTTTTCTTTTATTGTTGTTGTTGTATACCCTAGACATTTGCACTTTTTTCTTCTTTATTTCAAAGAAAACAGAAAAACAGCAGCAGCTATAGCTTAAAGGAAAGTAAAATGTGTGAATGCAAAAAAAAGTCAGCATACTTTTAGGCTATTGACCTCACATTTCTGTGTTGCTTTGTGTTTAAGTATACTTTATGTACTTATTTCTCAGTTGCATGTGTTTGTAGTGATTTATCTTTTAGCAAAAATTTTATGATTTTATTGTCGTTTTTTTTCTTCCATTTCAAAACTAATTTTTGCAAAGCATACATGTTGGTTATTAAACTTGTCGTAAGTTTGTGGTAAAAAACAACATGGTGAATGTAAGGCTCAAAGAGGGTAGCTGAGAGGAGGTTGTGAAACTTAAAAAGTTAAGGTTTCAAAAACAATATTTAAACTAACTCTAGTTCTGTTCTAGTTCTGTTCTATTCTGTTAGTTCTGTTATAGTTTCGTTCTAGTTCTGTTCTAGTTCTGTTCTGTTCTAGTTCTAGTTCTGTTCTAGTTCTGTTCTAGTTCTGTTCTAGTTCTGTTCTAGTTCTGTTCTAGTTCTGTTCTAGTTCTGTTTCTAGTTCTGTTCTAGTTCTGTTCTAGTTCTGTTCTAGTTCTGTTCTAGTTCTGTTCTAGTTCTGTTCTAGTTCTGTTCTAGTTCTGTTCTAGTTCTGTTCTAGTTCTGTTCTAGTTCTGTTCTAGTTCTGTTCTAGTTTTTTCTAGTTCTGTTTTGTTATGTTCTAGTTATGTTCTGTTTGTCTAGTTCTGTTATAGTTCTGTTCTAGTTCTGTTCTAGTTCTGTTCTAGTTCTGTTCTAGTTCTGTTCTAGTTCTGTTCTAGTTCTGTAGTTCTGTTCTAGTTCTGTTCTAGTTCTGTTCTAGTTCTGTTCTAGTTCTGTTTCTAGTTCTGTTAGTTCTGTTCTAGTTCTGTTTTCTAGTTCTGTTTAGTTCTGTTCTAGTTGTTCTAGTTCTGTTCTAGTTTGTTCTAGTTGTTCTAGTTCTGTTCTAGTTCTGTTCTAGTTCTGTTCTAGTTCTGTTCTAGTTCTGTTCTAGTTCTGTTCTAGTTCTGTTCTAGTTCTGTTCTAGTTCTGTTCTAGTTCTGTTCTAGTTCGTTCTAGTTCTGTTCTAGTTCTGTTTTAGTTCTGTTCTAGTTCTGTTCTAGTTCTGTTCTAGTTCTGTTCTAGTTCTGTTTCTAGTTCTGTTCTAGTTCTGTTCTAGTTCTGTTCTAGTTCTGTTCTAGTTCTGTTCTAGTTCTGTTATAGTTCGTTCGTCGTTCTAGTTCTGTTCTAGTTCTGTTCTAGTTCTGTTCTGTTCTAGTTCTGTTCTAGTTCTGTTCTAGTTCTGTTCTAGTTCTGTTCTAGTTCTGTTCTAGTTCTGTTCTAGTTCTGTTCTAGTTCTGTTCTAGTTCTGTTCTAGTTCTGTTCTAGTTCTGTTCTAGTTCTGTTCTAGTCTGTTCTAGTTCTGTTCTAGTTCTGTTCTTGTCTAGTTCTGTTTTGTTCTAGTTCTGTTCTAGTTGTTCTTTGTTCTAGTTCTGTTCTAGTTCTGTTCTAGTCTGTTTGTTCTGTTCTAGTTCTGTTCTAGTTCTGTTCTAGTTCTGTTCTAGTTCTGTTCTAGTTCTGTTCTGTTCTGTTCTAGTTCTGTTCTAGTTCGTTCTAGTTCTGTTCTGTTCTAGTTCTGTTCTAGTTTGTTATAGTTCTGTTCTAGTTCTGTTCTAGTTCTGTTCTAGTTCTGTTCTAGTTCTGTTCTAGTTTGTTCTAGTTCTGTTCTAGTTCTGTTCTAGTTCTGTTCTAGTTCTGTTCTAGTTCTGTTCTAGTTCTGTTCTAGTTCTGTTCTAGTTCTGTTCTAGTTCTGTTCTAGTTCTGTTCTAGTTCTGTTCTAGTTCTGTTCTAGTTCTGTTCTAGTTCTGTACTAGTTCTGTTCTATTTCTGTTCTAGTTCAGTTCTAGTTCAGTTCTAGTTCAGTTCTAGTTCAGTTCTAGTTGTGTTATCGAAATTATCCGAAATGATTGCTCTGCCTCTGTTTACTTTTTCTATTCATAATTTTTCTAATCCTAATCATAGATGTGTTATTTTATGTCAATAGAGTTTAGAAACGTTAAAAGCTTTCATTGAAAAATGTAGGCGTGATTTGACTATTATTTCAACTATTAAATGACTACGAAGTAGTTGTACATCCTGTGCTACTAGCAGCACCAGCACGAAAACTTCCACTATAAGTTTGCATTAATAAAACGGAAATTATATTTGCTTATATTTATATTTTCTGTATGCAATTAGGCTAAAAGCCAAAATCAGTTTTAAGAACACATTCACACGCTTCGTTGAACACCAAAATAAACTCAAAATGCGTTTATGTAGAATATGCTGTTTGTGAAGGAAAGTTGAAGGAGACAGGCGTAGGAAGACCCAAGATTATAACTAGTTACAGTTTGTGTTCAGCACAAGTAGTACGTGTATTCCATGAAGATTTCTTACTTTCTTTTTAATGGTTCAAGTTTGGTTTGACCTAATTTATTGGTAGATCTTTGGCATTTAATGTAGTTGCTGCTGGTGTTTTTACTCAGCTCCAGCAGAATTATGAGTGTATTATTTAAGATTTCCAAGAGATGATGTAGTGTAATGCAATACAATACCCTTCCAAAATAAGAAATCAAAAGAGAAAATAGCTTAAGCATACTTTAAGGATTAAAGCAGCTAAATTAATGAATGAGAAACTTTTATATTGGTGGTATGTTTTAGGCAGCAGGCGATACTCTTAGCAAATTGTTATGGGAAAAAACAAATAAGACATAATACAAAAATAAACTGAAAAGGATTTCTTTGCTTTTATTGTTATTATTCAACAACGCCTAAAATGTATGCTGCTGTTCTGTACTTTCTTTAATTAGCTGAGTAGTATGCTTTAAAAATAGACAATGGTTGCTGGGATAGAAAAGCAAGGATGAAAGCCTCTAAGTGGGCAAATAATAGCAAGAATTTACAATTAGTGGTAAATTTTTTCTGCCCAACAAAACAATTTATATTACTTGTGTAAATGCCTTAAAGTAGGCAATAGTTTTTAATTAGTTTAAAACTTGTGTAGTTTTGACATTTTCGTAATGGATGTACGATATTGTTGGGCGAAAAGTTAAATGAAAATTAAATTGAGTTAAAGGGCATTTTGGAGAGGTAGAGGATACAATTTCAAAATAATATTTATAGTTGTAACACATTAAGTAGAAAGAAACTTATGACATACTTGGAACTAGAACAAAACTAGAACATAATTAGAATAGAGCTAGACAGAACTAGAATAGAACTGAACAGTACTAGAACAGTACTAGAACAGAACTAGAACAAAACTAGAAAAGAATAGAACAGAACTAAAAGAACTTAGAACAGAACTGAACAGAACTAGAACAGAACTAGAACAGAACTAGAACAGAACTAGAACAGAACTAGAACAGAAACTAGAACAGAACTAGAACAGAACTAGAAAACGAATAGAACAGAACTAGAACAGAACTACAACAGAACTAGAACAGAACTAGAACAGAACTAGAACAGAACTAGAACAGAACTAGAACAGAACTAGAACAGAACTACAACAGAACTAGAACAGAACTAGAATAGAACTAGAACAGAACTAGAACAGAACTAGAACAGAACTAGAACAGAACTAGAACAGAACTAGAACAGAACTACAACAGAACTACAACAGAACTAGAACAGAACTAGAACAGAACTAGAAACAGAGAACTAGAACAGAACTAGAACAGAACTAGAACAGAACTAGAACAGAACTAGAACAGAACTAGAACAGAACTAGAACAGAACTAGAACAGAACTAGAACAGAACTAGAACAGAACTAGAACAGAACTAGAACAGAACTAGAACAGAACTAGAACAGAACTAGAACAGAACTAGAACAGAACTAGAACAGAACTAGAACAGAACTAGAACAGAACTAGAACAGAACTAGAACAGAACTAGAACAGAACTAGAACAGAACTAGAACAGAACTAGAACAGAACTAGAACAGAACTAGAACAGAACTAGAACAGAACTAGAACAGAACTAGAACAGAACTAGAACAGAACTAGAACAGAACTAGAACAGAACTAGAATAGAACTAGAACAGAACTGGAACAGTCCTAGAACAGAACTAGAACAGAAGTAGACAGAACTAGAACAGAACTAGAACAGAACTAGAACAGAACTAGAACAGAACTAGAACAGAACTAGAACAGAACTAGAACAGAACTAGAACAGAACTAGAACAGAACTAGAACAAACTAGAACAGAACTAGAACAGAACTAGAACAGAACTAGAACAGAACTAGAACAGAACTAGAAAAGAACTAGAACAGAACTAGAACAGAACTAGAACAGAACTAGAACAGAACTAGAACAGAACTAGAACAGAACTAGAACAGAACTAGAACAGAACTAGAACAGAACTAGAACAGAACTAGAACAGAACTAGAATAGAACTAGAACAGAACTAGAACAGAACTAGAACAGAACTAGAACAGAACTAGAACAGAACTAGAACAGAACTAGAACAGAACTAGAACAGAACTAGAACAAAACTAGAACAGAACTAGAACAGAACTAGAACAGAACTAGAACAGAACTAGAACAGAACTAGAACAGAACTAGAACAGAACTAGAACAGAACTAGAACAGAACTAGAACAGAACTAGAACAGAACTAGAACAGAACTAGAACAGAACTAGAACAGAACTAGAACAGAACTAGAACAGAACTAG